TACCAATTAGTTTTTTTAAGCTAAATACCATTGACACTTAAATAAAGTCTTTCATTCATTCATCCGTTTTACACTGCAAATCATGCTAAAACAAGTATACTTGAGGCCAATGACTGGCGATAATTTGAGAGAATCCGTATGAATCATTCTCTCTGGCACAATTTCTTGAACCGTAACATGTTTTAGCAATTAAACGTGTTCGTTGTCTGTAAAACGTTATGGACTGTTACTTGATGAAGAAAAGGAGTGCAAAGTTACGAGACAAGAAATTGAAGATAAACAGCTTATATACTAACATATTGTTACCGAGAAAACAGAAGAGAAAGCTAGGGCCCAGATAGCATGAACAAGCGATCACGTGACATACATCTGGCGCATGCGCTTGCTATGGTCGACGCTGACGTAAGTTAATCATTAAACAAAGATATATCCCTTACCCCGTGCATGGGTGTTCCAAGACAGTTCAAAACGTTGCAAGTTATGTGAGTGTTTATCTATGTAGTTGAGCGCAAAGTTCCATCTAACAATCGCTGTTAGATAAAACTTCTCTTGGGAGGGCTCGGTGGAAGATTTTCCTCAAGGTCTAGATCTTTTTGTGATGTCCTTTCCTCGTCTTCCCGTCCTTCAGTGTACTTTAAGATATCAGAACAAAGTTCTTGGTCTATTTTTCTCGTATAGCAATCTATGAATTTGTCAATGTGACTTTGAAGATAGCCCAGAGGAGCAGATCCCTGGCTGAGAAGTTGATAATGAAACTCCGGTAAACTGAACGACTTGCCCATTGCCTTCTCCACCTGTTTGCGCATGCTTACTAGTTTCAGTTTCCCCAACATGTAGGCTGTAGCTTGGCCGGGAACGCTCTGGTATCGAGTCACTTCCTTCACTGCAAAGTCTGTAGTATCCCATGTATAGTCTTCAAACTTTTTGAGTGCTTCTGACCTGATAAGAAAGCAATTTGTTACGTCTTACCAACGTTAAGAATAACAGCGTGAAATTTGCGAATTTTAAAACGATTTGTTTATGACGTGAAACCAAAAATCATTCTTAAAATATATTCTTAAATTCGCCGGTACCCATTTGCACACCTGGGTGGAGAGAAGCACTGTGGCAGTAAAGTGTCTTGCCCAAGAACACAACACAATGTCCCCGGCCAGGCTCGAACCCAGACCGCTCGATCCGGAGGCAAGCACACTAACCATGAGGCCACTGCGCCTAACACGGAAAAACAGTCCATATTTTAACGCGAGTTAACTGGGCGAATGAAAAAAGTAAAAACGGACTTAACGTTTTGCAGTCTATCTAAGTGGTTTGTCTGAAGTCGATATTAATTAATTAATTCACCATGAAGCCTTTGAACTTGCTGAGAATGCGGCGATGGGCATACAGTGAACCTGTTATGTCTCTCCTTATCCTTCTGTCCGTTCAGATGGGCACACTTGTTATAGCTAACTTGTCTACAATAACCAACAGAACTTTGTTCACCTTGTCATTCCTCTGTAATGAAGGCCGGTGTCCACTACCAATCTCACAGCCCGCCATACCTTAACACAAAATGACACATGTCAAAATCTTCACGATTTCTGCCACATTGTAAAGTAACATTGTTTTGAGGGATGGTCTTAAATGTGCCCAGGGACACGAAGAGAACTGAGTGAGTGAGTGAGCTGTTTTGAAGGGCAATTTTCCGAGTCAATCCTGGGAACAGCCATGCGGTCAGAGCTCAATGAGGCATCGCGAAAGGCTTTTCAGAAAACCTGACGTATTTTCCCAATTTTAAATCAAACGACAAGAATATCGGAATGATTTGTCGAAAACGACAGCTGTTGTTTGTTCTGTGATAATAGTCAGATATCCTCTTTGCTAATCACACAAACCTGCCATTTAAACATGCCATACAGCTGTAGATAGTTCTGTTCATAAAGATTAGCGTCTTGGGCGAGCAGAGGACTCTCCGCGTATAGAGCCCAGCCCTCCTGGAACGCTATGTACGAGGTTTTCTTATCAAGCCACCGCGGAACTCCGCCGCACTTGTCTCGAAAATGTTCTATCAATCCTGTTAATCAAGAAACACAAAAGAATAAAATGACAAACTAAAAGCGCACCGCCGGCTGGCGTACACGTCTCGTAATTGAGCGCACAATTCATCATGACTCCACAAAAATTGGTGTCCACAATAATTGTTGCGTGCCTGCAAACGAGGAACCTTTAGTGGATACAATGGTTGCTTTCCGTTATGCCAGACCGACCGGTAAGAGACCAGTGGAAATACCCCAGGAGAATGAAATGACATTTTCCGAACAAACGGGCCAACCAAGAGGAATGGCTCTTACCATTTTAATTCCTTTTCCGAACTCCCTACATAAGTGAAGAGAAGTAGGGTAATGAACCAGTTTGTCAAAATGGAACGGCAAATTTCCGTCCGACCGATCAAAGTGGACCACCTCCAGAGGTGTTTCCGAACACTTCGGTCAGAAGGAACCGAAACTGACCTTTCCATTTGACATCCGAACGGAATTTCCGGAATCTTTGGCATAATGGAAAGCACCTAATATTTCCGGAACGCTTTATCGTTCGCGGATGACTTTAACGGTTAATATACGAACATATGGAAATCTAATACCTTGCATCTGAGTGTGGTGCCCAGGCCTCGACTCGTGCCCGATTACAGACCATTCCTGGAACTTTGGCCCATACCTCTTCAGAAAAAAAGGAAGACCAAAATAACTGGGAGTGGTACAGTTTCCTCTGCTGGGACGAAAGAACATGGCGCCATTGGACGGGTTGTAGTGGGGTAACATTTGTATTGGGCAGTTGGCCGCGGTAGCCTTGGGACCAGTAAAGTAAAACATGGATTGGATCTTCGGATAAATCATGCTCATCACAGTTTCAATGTACTCGCTCCATTTCTCCACGGCCGCCCAGCGCTGCGGGCAATGAATCTTGGCAGAGGCTGGATCGTGGCACGCTTTGTACGCAAGCTCGTCGCTCTCATTAACTGGGAATGGAGCCGTGTTGTGCCACTGGTCAGCTGCATCCAATTGAAGCTTAAAAGCTTCCACTGCTTTAGATCTCTTATTTATGCGAGTCAAAAGCTTTGCAATTTTATACACCTAACGTAACAAGACAACAAAAAAATAGTACATGATTGAAAAACGTTACTCTGGTTTAAAAAATGTAAAAATGTTAGTAAAAATTTTTTGTAAAAGTCCCAACGTTTCGGCTAAACTTCAGCCTTCATCAGGGGAAAGTGACAAGGAATTTGTAAAAAGGCACGTTCTTATACTATGCAAATCAGCAAATCGGAGCTAATTATGTCCTGTCCCTTAGGGCTAAATTTAAAATTCGTGCGGTAAATGCATGCCATCACCGCGGTTCAGCGGATCCATACAAGTGTTAATTTCCCATGCTTCTAAAATACGTCTGTTGCGCCAATTTGTGCTTGTACGTAAAATCGTACGTAAAATGGATCATTGGATGATGCAATTCAAGAGTTTTCATTTGTTTAGCCATCATGGTATATATGAGCCATTATACCATGCTCTACAAATATGGTAAGTGTACGCGTTATCTTTTTGGGCGTTTTTTATTTTTATCTTATTTTAGTTTTCTATATTTGGGGGCGTTTTTAATAAAACAATTATTCCACTCGCGCTTGTTGGCTGGATATGAGATGGTTATAGCCAACTCATACCCAACACGCGCTTGTGGAATAATTGACAAATATATGACTTAATCGAAGAGTATTTAACGTCCTGAAAAGGTCTTCGTTTATATATGGACTGGATCATACACACTCCTATTCAGCCGCGCGCGAACCGCGAATATCGTGCTTGCTCGCTCAAGTTTTGCGTTCTTCCCCGCGGATTTTGGAGCAAAAGAGAGACTGCTCGCGGTCTATCTTCAATGAGGTCATAGGCTAAGACAATACTAAGATTATATACTTTAAGCTCCCTCGGCAGGGAGTCTATGATCAGAAGAAATAACAGTGTTTCTTTAAGCTTTAATCATGTACGGCTTAGTGGATAAGCTTAGAGAGTGGAAGCCTGTTAATTCGGTCTCCTACGGGCCATGAACATTTGGCCGTATTAACGAGATAGGGTCAAATTTCATGACCGGTCCAAATTGAGTGACGTCTGATCTTAGCTGACTTAACAGATCACAACTGCACTTTGACACAACTGTTTTTTAATAAACATCAGGAATGCAGATATAATTTTACAAAAAAAATGGAAACGTCAATCAGAACTTACAATATCATCAGTGAAAAACGAAAACAGCTGGTTTGAGTGGCCGTAAACGGAGTAAAATTATAGAGGATTATACAGGTTGGGATTTCAGAATGTTGCCGTTGGCCATATTAACGGCGTGGCCGCATTAACGGAGTTTTCTTATAACAGAATGTATGGGTGTTTCGCGGGGACAAAAAATGTGGCCGTAATAACGAGATGACCGTATAGCGCGTTCCACTGTATTTGTGTGTTCTTTATTATCGGCAGATGTTTTGCTTCCTGGATTTCATAGGCGTGTTTGGTGCGAGGGGCGGAAAGAAAAACATATTCAAAGTGAAGGTTATTATCTGCACTCTAAACTATTAATAATGTCACGGGGAAACAAAGCCTACCTGTGGCATGTAGATACTGAGTTGCTTATTTCCCTCTTGATTGATATCTTCAGGGGAAATATCAAACGTTGTGAAGTACGATAAAATTATGCGATAAGTGTCAGTGCCACGCAACGCCTTTTCAGTACCGGGTAGAACCTTTGTCGTCCTATTCCCCAAATCCGGGACACCGTCCGTGTACACATAGTCCACGGGCAAATTAGCAAGACCGCTGGCAACTGTTTCAGGTAAACAGTGACGACTGTGTTCGTACTCAAGGTAATGAATAAGGTTCAGTACGGGTTCTCCAAAACCTTTCACTAAGGCCTCTCTAATGGCGTCTCTTGCACTCTGGCCTGAGTGTTCAATTCGCCACCGCGCGTTCACTCCTGAATCTAAGTTGGCTAGATAAGCAGGTTTAAGGTAGAGTGAGGCGGACCACTCCCCCAGTACCCCCATTGAGTCATTCGCCTTTGCTATTTCAGGATATTCCTCTTTAAAAGCATCAAGACCCGCTTTACAGTCAATTGACGAACGAACCATGCCGGCTTTGACTCCCAGGGCAATATTATCTCTGTTAATAACAAATCAAAAGCATTGAGCCTATCAATCAATCAATCAATCAATTAATTAATCAATCAATCAATCAATCAATCACTCGACCTCATTAATCGAGTTCGTAGTTCATATATACTGCTCGAAACAGATCCAAGCTTTTCCTTTCACGGTTCACCGAAGTTTTGACTTTAGTCATAGCAGTATCAGAAGATTTTACCAATCATTTCTAGAATCATTCTGGCCTTGCGTTGCTAGCATGTGTCAATGTAGTATTGTAACATTTCTCCCTCAACTTGTTTGGTGCCTGGCTCTGCCTTCGGAAGGGATCAGGTTTCCTCTTATAAAGGGAATTTTTCCTAGCACACTAGTTGACCATGCACTAATGCACTGTTGTTAAACCTCTACATGTATCATAGTCTGTCTAACGTAACAACCAATAAATTGGATCTGTTGCACCGTAAAAGCCGGGCCTTACCATTTGCAGCTAGCAGTCTAGTCAGTGAAGGGGGCAGCACCCTATTTACCGGTGGACAGTAGTACTTTTCTTGACTGATGTACGGAATGCGAAAAACAGTTGGGCCGGGTTGTTCGAAGCCCGATTAAACTAACCCAGAATTAGTGAGAATTTTGATGTCATTTTGTAACTTTTCGGTGAGGTTTTCTGTTCATATTATTTGTTCTTCAGTTTTGAGTTTGAATAATCCCAAACTACAGAAAACATAAGCAGTGAAAAACATTTTTATAAAAGAAAAATGAATACTTCGGCTAACTTTTAAACCTGGATTACAGTAAACCGGCTTTCGAACAACCCAGCCCAAGTTGGTAACACGTTGGCCACATGTCGTGTTTAAGAGAAAGGAAACATAATGCTACAGTCGAATTCGAATTTCGCGAGCAGTAAAATTGACCAATCACAGCGCGTGATATAACGATGACCGTGAAAGCATAAAGTTTTAGAACGACTTGTGGCCAGTTGTCGTTCATCAAAGATTCTATTGCAGAAATTTCTAAAAAAATTATTCACAATATACTTGTACCGGGGAACTGTCTTATTTCTAACAAGACATTATGCCTCTTTGGCTGCTATTTCCAGACGAAAATCCTTAAGGCTGGTTTTTCACTAGCGACGGAGTCGTAATAAGAAGCGTAGAGCAATATGATCTAGTGAAAATCAAACCAACGGAGTCGGAAGCAGAACACCCATTCCGCTTTTGACTCTCTCGCTGTGATCTGCTGGAAATAAGATTGTCGGAGTCTGAAGTTGAAACGGACAAGTAAACCAATTACAATGCTCACTTCTGGGCCTTGTGATTGGTTGGTTCTTCCGCTTCTGCTTCCGACTCCGACATCCTAGTTCACACCGGATCGTAAGCGGCGGAGTCTTAAACAAAATCGGAAGAAATGGGAGCGTTCTTATTTTTCCAACGAGCTTATGACTCCGCTTATGACTCATATTTTTGATTTTCACTTGGTCATAAGTTCTCTTACGACTCCGACTCCGTCGCTAGTGAAAACCAGCCTTTAACCAGGAAGAGGATATTACCCTCCCCTCCCTTCTTGCCAAACTAAACCGCCACAAACCTGTAACGATCAAACGTGTCCTTGTGTTTCATAATGGTGTCAATCACAAATTGTAGATCCTCGTAGGAACGAGGCTTCACTTGCCACGCGAAAGAATTGATGTCATAAGTCACGTAGCAGATTGGCTGCCAGCAGAAGTAGTTTGGACCCATCATCCAATCACCTGCGTAATAGTTGATGTCAAATGGCGAATCGAACACGTGACGTAGGAAATGCTTTGCCTGTTGGAATGACAATAAGAGAAAAAACTTCTTATGTATCGCCTTCCGTTTCGCAAGATGGCTGAAAGGTCCTGTTTTGTAATATTTAAAGGAGCTACTTCACGGTTTGTGCGTCTTGAAAAGTTTAGCCTAGCTTTTTTCAAGTTCGTCGTTTGTAATCCGTGTTGATCTTCTTCATCCTCGATCATCCTTGTTTCTGTATGGTTTATCAGTATTTCTTTAGTGTGTTTCTATCTTAGTAAACTACTATTTTCAGGTTTCCTTCAATTTAAAGATAATTTTGTACGTGGCCCAAATAACTGAAAATACCGTGACTGAGTTCCTTTAATGAAGCTACCTTTCAATCGCCAGAGAGGTTTTAATTCTTTCATTGAACTGTAGAATCATTTTTTTTCAATAAATTACCCTTTTTCAACATATTCTACCTAGCCAAACTTGAGCAGGTTTTGTCAGTACAGAAGTTCAAAGGTGAGACCAAAACGGATTATGTGTTTAGACGAAATCGTAATCAGCTCAACTACGTCTTAAACGAAGCACTGAGAGGCAATCAAAACGCTTACTGCGTCTGATAATTCGTGCTGATTTTACACTCGCCGCATAAAAGAACAAACGTATCTTTATGCCCTCCATTTACCTAAGTACTAGCGTAAAATAAAATGCGTTCAGTTCCAGCAGCCCGTCTTATTAAGTTTAAAACAAAGAATCAAATCCGCTCTGGGATATGAAATTTAATATCTTCTTTTTTAACGCAAAGTAGACCCTCGTTATCTAGAACTCCGTTAACTCGATTCTCGAACTCCCCGTAATCCCGAACTCCTGTTGTCTTGAACTTTTCTTTGTTTCCCTTGAGGTTTCGAGATAATGGCAATCAACCGTAGTAGTTTTGACTTTTTCATAGTTACAACAAGACCGGGGGTACTCTACAAAGTTCTTCATGGGAAGGCTCCGCCCCGAGGTCCACCCCTTACCCTTTTGTATACCATTTTGACAAAAAAGGGACCCCTTTAGAGCACATTTAATTGAATAAAGGTACCGCTTTCACATACTTTCATAACTGGCCCGTATTATGAATAAATCGCCAAAAAAGGAAATCTTCACGTCATTTTCAGGTATTGCTTAATAACTTAAATGATAAAGGCATAAGGTGCGTGACTGATTTCGCTACCTTTCCATATAGCTCAACTTGTGAATGTCCACCCTTTTATAAACCTGAAGCCTGAAAAGGGTACCCCTTTCATCCGGAGCCTCAGTCCCTGTATAGGCCCTCATAGGGAGTATGCCCCGGGCAACAAGACAAGATGACCACGGTCAGCGGTTCCATGCTCACCTGCCATAAGGCTTTTCCCTCTCGCGCCTTGAGTTTCCTCTCGTCTACTTTAACGTTATTCAGTTTTTCCAAGAGCGCTAACGCCGCGTCCGTTTTCCGTTTAAGAGCCTCTGGGGAAGGATCGTAGGGGAAATATCTATGAAGAGAAAGCAATTGATGAATTACGCACTTAACATCGGCGACATTGCGAAAATAATTGGCCTTTTAGGCATCGAAAAGAGCGGAAAATTGCTCCTAACCGTACCCTGGACGAAACTGTTGATACAGACAATCAAAGTCGCCCCCCTCCCCTAACCCCATTCCATGTTGTTTTGGTCTGAAAACCATCGGATAAGCTATTCCTGTCAGTATTATCCTGCAAAATAACATTGCAAGCATTGCATTTAACAATGTTTTGGCAATTGTAGGTATTTTTCAATTTCTCTCAACTTTCCTGTAACTTCTGTCCAAGGTTTTAGATCTTGCGGACTGAGGACTACTGTCCGGGGGCGGGGGGGACTCTCGCATAAAAAACGGGGGTGCTCGTCGGAAATTTCGAAAAGAAAACCTAAGAGGTACCAAGATCCTGTTTTGTGAGCGTGGCTTGAAATTTTGTTCACCCCCAAAGAGTTACCAATTCTAAAACAACATATCATTTCCTGTCATACAGCTTTTTTCAGCTCAATACCCTAAAAGGCACCGCAAAAGCTCACGCTGTGGACTTTTTGAGGATGAAAAACCGTAAGAGGTACCAAACCCGGGACCGCTTTTTTAACTCACGACGAGCAACCCCGTCCTTTTTATTTGGGAGCCCCCCTCCGGGGCTTACTGGGCCCCTGACGCCAAGCGTGTCAAGCGCGCGAAATGAATGAATCATCTACCTTATTATCACTTATTTTCGCGCGACTATAATTTCGCGAATTTGGAATCGAAATGTTTCGCGGGACTTAAATTTCGCGATTTTGACGAATCACCGTTTTTCAAGGAAATTGAATTTCGCGAATCAAGTAACTGGTGCTCGTTGGTAAACTTCCATTTCTGTATTTTATTCTTTTGAAAAGAATGAAGCTATCATGAAGAGGCTCAAGCAGCTGATCACTGAGAACTATAGGGAGCCAGATGCCGATGGCAAATTTAACGACTGTACTGAGGAAGTGTTACAGGAACTAATTCGGCAAGATCAGTCAGATGATGAGGAATAAGGACATGCGTTGAACTGAAATTTGAGCCCTTCTACTTGTAAACTCACAGCAGACTGAAAACTTAAATAAAGGATTTTATAATGGGCACTAAATTTCGCGTCTTTAATTTTCTCGGTACCTTTTTTTCGCGCCGGGGACTTCAATTTCGCGAATTTTTTTAAACGCGAAAATTAAGTCTCGCGAAAATAAGTGATGATAAGGTAGCCTTTTAAGGTTTAGTCTCGAATCGCGCTCAAATCACATGCGCAGGAAGCAGCTGAACTGGAATTCAGTATATATGATAACATAAACCTTTGTATTCTCCATTCTCCTGTTACATAACACTTCCACCTAACTGTAAGCCGTTTTTCAGCGCTCAGCTTTTCAACCTTTTTATCTGTTTTTACAGAGCTCTATTTTTTCCTCTTGAGAACAAAGCTTCCTATCAGTTAATGCGATAGAATCTTATTACTGGAAGCTTAAATCCGCGGCAGAATTTTATCGTCAGTCTCGTCCCGGAGACAGTTCTTATTAATCACCTTTAAAGCGTCGTGAACAGGACATGCGTGGAATTTTCAGCCACAAAAAAAAACATTAGTGACATTAACAACCTTGACATCATCAAATAATAAAATGAGTCGACTACAGAAATGAAATTCAAGCTCTCTGATGTCTGTCATCTCGCTAACAACAGAAAGTGAAGCACTTCTGAAACGATCGTTACTTTCCACAGCGCATTGTCTTATTTGACTCTGAACCTAATACGATTCAAGGTCATTTAACAAACGTACTGAACAGCACATGAAAACATCGTCCTCACACCTTGTATTACCCGGGGTATTACCTTGTCTTCACATATTCGGTCATTTCTTGTCCTATCAGGTCAGGATTCCACGCCACATTGTTAGGATTGTGAGTAAAATAAGCGGTTTTCACTTCTTCCAGTAAAGCTGGCAATCCAACGCGAACCGCCTCATCAGAGAAACGACAAAGCTGCGACGAAGCAACGGACACGCGCTTCTTCGCAACGGAAGACGGTTCGACTTGGCCGCATTTTTCATTTGCTGCATGTAGCTTCACAGCGCCAATAATTACCAACACTACACCAATCAAGGCGAAGAGCAAGCCGAGTAGTAACAAGACTGAGTCGCTACAAATTGCTCTGTCTTTTAAGCGTCTGTTGTGGTGCAGCTGTGCTGCCATTTCTGATGTTATGAGAGACTACAATCGCTTTGTAGACGTGTAGTACTAAAGTGAAATTGACACTACAAATGACAAGGTCATGTCAACAGAGGTAACTGACTGTCTATCACTGTCTGGGTCATTTACGTAAGATATCTCTCGGGTTATTCTCGTTTTTAACCCGTGATTGGACGCAACCCAAGTCGATGTGTGTCCACAATCAGCAAGCCTACGGGGAGGGGGGG